GAATGCATTGATGATAACTTCCTTCTCCAAGTGACAGAAGAGGCAGCAAGGAGAGGTGCTATGCTGGACCTTATTCTCACCAACAAGGAGGGGCTGGTGGGGAACGTGAAGCTCAAGGGCAGCCTCGGCTGCAGTGACTATGAAATGGTGGAGTTCAAGACCCTTAGAGCACCGAGGAGGGCGCACAGCAAGCTCACTACCCTGGACTTCAGGAGAGCAGACTTTGGCCTCTGCAGGGATCTGCTTGGTAGAATACCATGGGATAAAGCCCTGGAGGGAAGAGGGGCACAAGAAAGCTGGTTAATATTCAACGATCACCTCCTCCAAGCTCAGGAGCGATGCATCCCAACAAAGAGGAAGTCAGGCAAAAACGCCAGGAGGCCTGCATGGATGAACAAGGAGCTCCTGGACAGACTCAAACACAAAAAGGAAGCCTACAGAGGGTGGAAGCAAGGACAGGTAGCCTGGGAGGAATACAGAGAAATTGTCCAAGCAGCCAGGGATCAGGTTAGAAAAGCTAGAGCCCTGACAGAATTACATCTGGCCAGGGACGTCAAGGGCAACAAGAAAAGCTTCTATGGGTACATCAGTGATAAAAGGAAGACTAGGGAAAATGTGGGCCCTCTCCAGAAGGTAACCAGGGAGACCTGGTTACCTGGGATACGAAGGCTGAGGTAGTCAACGACTTTTTTGCCTGCCTGTACTGGCAAGTGCTCTAGCCACACTGCCCAAGTCGCAGAAGGCAAAGGCAGGGACTGGGAGAATGAAGAACTGCCCACTGTTAGAGAAGATCACGTTCGAGACCATCTAAGGAACCTGAAAGTGCACAGGTCTGTGGGACCTGATGAGATGCATCCGTGGGTCCTGAGGAAACTGGCAGATGAAGTTGCTAAGCCACTATCCAGGGTTGGAACCAGATGATCTTTAAGGTCCCTTCCAACCCAAACCATTCTATGATTCTATGATATTTGAGAACTTGTGGCAGACTGGTAAAGTTTCCAGTGACTGGAAAAGGGGAAACATAACCCCATTTTTAAAAAGGAAAAAAAACGGAAGACCTGGGGAACTACAGGCCAGCCAGTCTCACCTCTGTGCCCAGCAAGATCATGGGGCAGATCCTCCTGGAAACTATGCTAAGGCACATGGAAAACAGAGGTGATTGGTGACAGCCAACATGGCTTCACTAAGGGCAAATTGTGCCTGACAAATTTGGTGACCATCTACAGTGGGGTAATAGCATTGGTGGATAAGGGAAAAACGACTGACGTCATCTACCTGGACTTGTGCAAAGCATTTGACACTGTCCCGCATGACATCCTTGTCTCTAAATTGGAGAGACATGGATTTGACAGATGAACCATTCGATGGATAAGGAATTGGCTGGATGGTCACATTCGAAGAGTTGTGGTCAATGGCTCAATGTCCAAATGAAGGTCAGTGATGAGTGGCATTCCTCAGGGGCTGGTATTGGGATCAGTGCTGTTTAATATCTTTGTCGGCGACATGGACAGTGGAATTGAGTGCACCCTCAGCAAGTCTGCCAACGACACCAAGCTGTGCGGTGTGGTCGACAGGCTGGAGGGAAGGGATGCCATCCAGAGGGACCCTGGCAGGCTGGAGAGGTGGGCCCATGCAAACCTCATGAAGTTCAGCAAGGCCAAGCGCAAGGTCCTGCACATGGGTTGGGGCAATCCCAAGCACAAATACAGGCTGGGCAGAGAATGGATTGAGAGCAGCCCTGAGGAGAAGGACTTGGGCATGTTGAGTGATGAGAAGCTCAACATGACCCAGCAATGTGCACTTGCAGCCCAGAAAGCCAACGACATCCTGGGCTGCATCAAAAGCAGCGTGGCCAGCAGGGCGAGGGAGGTGATTCTGCCCCTCTACTCCGCTCTCGTGAGACCCCACCTGGAGCCCTGCATCCGGCTGTGGGGCCCCCAACATAAGAAGGAGATGGACCTGTTGGAGTGAGTCCAGAGGAGGGCCACGAAGATGATCCAAGGGCTGGAGCACCTCTCCTATGAAGACAAGGCTGAGAGAGTTGGGGTTGTTTAACCTGGAGAAGAGAAGGCTCCAGGGAGACCTTATAGCAGCCTTCCAGTACCTGAAGGGGGCCCACAAGAAAGCTGGAAAGGGACTTTTTGCAATGGCCTGTAGTGACAGGACAAGGGGGAACGGCTCTAAACTGAAAGAGGGCAGATTTAGATTAGATATAAGGAAGAAATTCTTCACTGTGAGGGTGGTGAGGCACAGGAACAGGTTGCCCAAAGAAGTTGTGGATGCCCCCTCCCGGGAAGTGTTCAAGGCCAGGCTGGGTGGGGCTTTGAGCAACCTGGTCTAGTGGAAGGTGTCCCTGTCCATGGCAGGGGGGTTGGAAGCAGATGATCTTTAAGGTTTCTTCCAACCCACGCCATTCTACGATTCTACGACAGGCAGTACAAAGTCGAAATGGTTGCCCATTAGTAATGGTGTCCCTCAGGGATGAATACTGGGGACAATACTCTGATATCTTCATTAACAGCCTGGATGATTGCATAGAGCACTCCCAGAAAATTCCTGGGTGATACCAAACTGGGGGGGGGAACAGTAGGGCAGGCCTTCAATGCAGAGAGAACTTGACAATCTGGAGATATGGGCTGACAGGAGCCTCATGCAGTTCAAGAAAGGCTCATGCATCTCAGACGGGATAAGCCTATGCAGCAGTGCAGCTCGGACGCTGACTGTCTGGAAAGCAGTTTTGCAGAAAAAGAACTGGAGGTCCTGGTGGACAACAAGTTGACAGCAGTTAGTAGTAGGCCCTTGCAACAAAGGTGGCCAACTGCATACTGGGCTGTAACAGCCACAGTGTAGCCAGCAAGTGAAGGGAATTATTTTTCCCATCTATTCTGCATCTGAGAGACCACATTTGGAGCAATGCATCCAGCTTTGGGCTCCCCAGTACTAGAAAGACATTAACATCCCAAAGCAAGTCCAGTGGAAGGCCATCAAAATGGTCAGGGGGCTGGAGCCCGTGACATACGAGAAGCAGAGAGAACTGGGTTTGTTCAGCCTTAAAGAACAAGAGGCTAAGGGGAGATCTTATTGCTGTCTCTAAACACCCAGTGGGAAGGTACAGAAGAGATGGAGTCAGATGCTTCTCAGAGGTGCCGTTACTGGATAAGGGTCAATGCAAATTGACACAGGAAATTCTGCTTTAATGTAGGAACAATTTATGTTTTTTCAAACTACAAGCAGCAAAATGTTAGAACAGGTTGCTCAGTGACTGTAGAACTTCCGTTCTTAAATATACCTAAAACTCAACTGGACAGGTCCCTGAGCAACTTGACCTAACTGGATGTGATATGAGCAGGAGATCACACTTGGGGACCTCCAGAGGTCCTTTCCAATCCAAATTATTCTATGAGTCTAGAAGTATAATTTGGTAGTCCAACAGATGGGCCTTAAAATATTGTCATGCTCTGCACAAAGAGAAAAGTTCTCCTTTCCTGCTTAAAGAATCCTGAGCCATTTAATCTTTTGGAAGAGTAGAACGAAAGAAGTGGAAGGTCAGAAGGTGTTATGGTTTTCATAACATATAACCTACAGAGCCATTAGGAAGCTAAATGGATTTCCAAGTAGAATGAGAAAGCTAAAAGCAGAACTGGAGACAGCGACTGTCCTGAAAGGGTATGAAATTGAGAAGCAGAAATTGTGCTCAAAGATCACTTGTCTATCCAATAAATAGAGAAAAGCA